ATCAAAATAGATTTAAGGTGCTCCGTTATATTGCAGTATTTTATCTTCGGATTTCCAAGTTAAATGTACTGAGATTGTGCACCCTGAACTTACCGTAAAGGTTATGGTTTTATATGTTTGTGATTTTATTATTTATTTAATTAGTTAATAAAAAAAAAGTACAACAATGTGTTAAGATTTAATGTGACATCAGCTTAACAAAATGTTGTACGATGATTTTAAACCTATTGTAGACCTACTCCTTAATAACTGGACAGCATTGCAATTAGCTGTTGAACATGGAATGGGAGCACCAGGAGGAATAAAGGTATTTAGTTGTAAAAGTCTAAATTTAATACTTGTAATATTTTAACGTCAAGAGTCAAGACGACGAATTGGTCCATTTTCTATTTCATTTTTATGATCAATGTTTACGCGTGCGATAGTAATTCATGGAACTATGTTACAGACTGCTCAGCTGATGTCAGTATATATAGCAAGATATTGCGTAGAGAATATTGTTGACAGGGAGGATCTCACGGAATTGTTGGAGGATTTGATGGATGAAGAATTTGATACTGCATGCCATGACAACTCAACTAAAGGTTAGTTAATTTTTTTTTTTAGAATGCCGTCAATTAATACATGATTGATACATAATACTCAGATAATCAGTTTTGAATTGTCATCATAAAGATTACCATTTATTGCCCACTGCTGGATGGCCTTTTTCAATCCCTAATACCTTTCATAGTATGCAATCAACTTACCAACTTATCCATTAAGTCATCACTATACTGTAAAAAAAAACATATAGACGAATTGAGTGCCTCCGTCTTTTGGGAAGTCAGTCAATAAGCAAATTGTATGACAATATTTTCAGAAATAGCAACACTACTCCTATTATACCTTGAACTACTAAAAGAGGGCAGACATGACGAGCTCCGGGCTAGGATAGAAGCAATGCCGAAATGTCAGATCTGGCTAAGTGTACCCATGCATTCTTCAGTACCACCACAAGTAAGATTTGATATTATTTCCTTCACTCCAATAGAAATTACTGTCATATGTTACTGAGTACCTGTATTAAGGTAGTGGCACAGCAAAGTGACAGAAAGGGGTGCCATTTTGTTAAATTATTCTAAGGGCTTGGTAAAAAAATGAAAGGGTTGTGTGAACTGAATCTACAGGAGGGTACTGATCTTCATAAAAAAAATCTAATGTACCCATAAACAAGCTTTTTCTATCTCCATGTATACATGATTGTTGGATTTAAAATAAATCATTATGCATTTTTCAATTCCGTCCAGTGTCCTGGTAGCTCTGAAACCGGCACTGGCTCCCCACTGTGAAGTAATTTCATGCCCATTTAGATTGACACATAATGCTTAGATGTGTGGAAGAGGTCTTCCTGGACCTTATCAAATGGAAGTCCATACTCTGTCAATTACTATGGTTCATTTGTGTGTGGTATTTATATATTTTTTAATTTCACAGTGCCATGGCAATCCAGATGACGATAGCACCAGTAGCAGCAGTGAAGATGATAATGATGGCAGCAATGTTACAGAAAACATGAATGGTGAAGCATCATCATCAAGACAGAATGACACAGTTGAGCCAATGGATGAAGATCAGGAACCAGGATGGATGGTAGTCAGAAGTAGAAGGAAAAAATAAAATTGAATAAAACCGAATATTTATTTACACCATGATGAAATTTGTGCTTTTAAACACTCTAGAACAAATAGAGGAAAATCATCTGCACAAGTTAACTTTAGTAAAACTGTTATAGATGTACTTTTAAATATGATTAGGGTAGTTTTTACCTTTCTCTTAAATTTTATAGCAAAAAACAACTTGTTACTATATTTGTTAATAAATTTAATACATATTTCAATTAAATAATGAATATCTGTTAACCAAAAACAGTTATTGTGATATGGTATTAAAGTAAATGCCCATATACAAATGTGTATACATAAGTTGTATCTGCATTTGTGTGATTGATTTCAAACTGTAGGAAATGTAACATAGTAAAGTAATAGAAATATGGATGTACATTGTGTATTGTATGTTTTTTTTTCTCCATTCGTTATTATGTATCGACTACTTCCAATTGCAATGAAGATCTAAAAATGTCTGCTATTTCATAGTTTCATATTAAGGTGTAAGGTAGAGGTAGAAAGTGATACAATTTGATGTATTGTTAAGGTAGGACTTACTTTCACAATGTAGGAAGATTTCTATTATTTTGTTATTGCAAAGTACCTACTTATTTGTTTAAATAAATGTTGATTTAATTACCTTGTCTTTTTTTATTGAGTATTTGTTGATGATTGTCATAATAATATAGTCGAGTTTATTTCAGGCAAGCCTAAAGACAAGTTTTTAATATGATGAGTTCTATTGAAATCCTAATTTTACTATTTTTATGCAATTTTTATAAAGAAGGACTAATACAAAAAAGGTTTTATGACAATTATTAAAGGATAATTTAATCTTCATCCTTGGCAGAATATGCCTAACATTGATACATTTGACATCTGAAAAAAAAAAATTCGTATGAGTCAGTTGTCAATGTCAAAAAATTTGACAATTTTTCAATTATTTATATTTTATGGGCAATTTTTTTAAAAAAATACTTTAATTATTGCATTATATTATTTATTAAACAACCATATCACCTAAATGCCTTTAACAGCTAGACAAAGAAGTATTCATAATAAAAATGGGACTAAGAGATCAGCTAGTTTCAGTAAAGGAAAGAAAACACGTAAATCTAGCGAAAGGTAAAAGAAACCAATAAGGCATTGGTTCTAACAATATAAGGTTTAATCGTTAAGAACTAAAAGTAACCGAATTATACCCATCCATGTCACAATTAACCTTTTGTGACTGTAATTGTTTTTGTTTCTTTCACGATAGATAAATCGTCTATTAGAGAAATATAATACCTTATTTAATATAAGTTTATTATTTGCAGTGAATTTCTTATGACGAATGCTCCATCAGATTTACGTAGCATCGCATACCCTGGAGGTGCGGTAGCATTGGTGCTATTGTTGATATCTCGACTTTTAGCCGCATATTGGAACCACATATCAGATTGCGATGAGACTTACAATTATTGGGAGCCATTACATTACCTTGGTAAGTTTAGACAAATAAATGATATTACAATCATATATCTCAAATAATTAAAACCTTAAAGTCAATAACTAAACTGAAGAATGTAGAACACTAGATTTCGTCTGCGATTCTGTCCGCGCTAATTAAAAAAAAACTTAATTAGTAGCTTATGTATTCTTCCAGACTGTGTCAGCCATTTAGACTACAAACTCTAACAAAAATCCATCCATCTATCCAAACTTTCGCAATTATATAATCTTATAAGTAAGTAAGATTGTATATCTTCTTGGATGGTTTATGTTTTTGAAATAGTTCAAAAGATAATATATTTTTTTTTTTAGTTAAAATATACTAATTTAACACAATGGTAACTATTGCCAAAGTTACTAATCTAAAATTAAAACTTGTTTATTTCAGTGTATGGTACTGGCTTACAAACATGGGAGTACAGTCCTGTGTATGCAATACGGTCATACATGCCATTATGGCTGTTTGCGATACCTGCAAAAATGTTATCTTACATAATGACACCTGTAACTGTGTTCTATACTATTAGAGGAATGCTAGCTACATTATCTGCATGTGTTGATCTCATGTTTTACAAGTACGTAATCAAAGTTTTTTTTTAAATAAATGCACAGAAACCAATGCTGTCTGTAAATGATGCTAGAGATGTATGTAAACAATGCAAAATGGAAATACCATACTGAAAAGATACCATCTATTGACAGTAGCAAATACATTGCCTATTCTTACCAATAGATAATGCAGAAAAAGAGGATAATTTCCCTATTATATGCATCCCCTACTATTAACTTATTAAAACTTTTGTGAGACATTGTAACATATAATTTATAACATGGCTAAAATTCACCTGGGAACTTTCGACCAGTTTCAGACCGGTCGAGGGTCCTTCAGGGTGAGTTGTTGCCGGCTATATGCGCTATCTCTCTTGGTCACTGCGGATGGTCACTGAACGTCGCGACGCGATAGCGAATATAGCCAGCAACTCACCCTGAAGAAGGACCCCCGATGGTTCTGAAACAGGTCGGTTCAGAAAGTTCCCAAGTGAGTTTTAGCTGTGTTATAAATTATAATGCATCTCCTACCGTACCTACCAATAGTATTTCACATTTGAATGTGATAAAATCTGCAATCTTATGCCTTTAAGTTATGTATTCTATTGTAAAATTGTCATAATATAAATGGCATTTTATAACAGAAAATATTATGTAGGGGGCATAGTCATGAGAACACTGAGGTGACCATCGAAGCCCGTGAAATTCTGGAAACACCAGTATGACCTTTTATATAGAGATACACTCTTGTAGGATGCATGATTTCAACGAAATGAATATTTTTTAAACAGAGCTATATGTCATGAGTTTGGTATACACGTTGGTCGTGTATGGCTGTGCCTTACACTGCCTGCAGCGGGCATGTTCGCAAGCTCAGCCGCGATGTTACCATCCGCGTGGAGTTCAGCGCTAGTGGCTGCAGCACTGGCTTGCTGGTGGCGGAAACGTTATCCTTATGCTGTAATGCTCACTGCTACCACTACATTACTTAGTATGTATAAATTATTCCTATGTAATGAACGATTTGTAATATATAGCTTTCTGGTTTAAGTTTAGGATGAACCATTCAAGTTAACCAATAAAAGAGTAAAGCTAATTATTTATGTAAAAAACAATGTTTGAATGTTTTTCCACAACGGTGGAATCAAATTAATCTTCTATTGCATCAGGGATAGCTAACAAGAGGGTTTCGATAAGTCAAATTCCATATAACTTAACCTTCTAACTTCTTCTAGAAGGTATAAAAGATCCCCCCCCCCCCACATATAATATTTGTTTATACCAACTTAAGATGTACAGAAACTCAAAAACTATTTCGCCATGTATTAAAAAATTTGCAACTTTCTCCTCAGGTTGGCCATTCACCGCAATCCTTGGTTTACCAATAGCAATAGATATGTTGGTACTTAAAAGGCAGTTTACGGAGTTCATCAAATGGTCATTAATATCTCTGTTAGTGATACTGCTGCCCACTGTATTAGTGGATTCCTGGCATTATGGACGTCTGGTAATCGCTCCTTGGAATATTGTAGCGTATAACATCTTCACTGAACATGGACCTGATTTGTACGGAGTGGAACCTTGGACTTATTATTTTGTTAATGGCTTCTTGAATTTTAATATTGTTTGGGTGAGTCTTAACAGTTTTGAACATGAGTTCTTACCTTTGTTACTGCTTAGACTATCGTCAAAATTTTAATTTAGAGTTTAAGTGTGGCCTTATCATTTAAGACGATGTTACAATTTAAATTTCGTTTCATTTAAAAATACTTTATGTGATAATTTCAATATTGTATAGCAAAGTGAAAATAATAATTGAATTACAAAAACCTTTTGGTAATGTCCTATTTCTCTCCATAATTATTCAAGTGAATTTACCAAAGCATACAAAATTAGTATGTTTTTTTATAATTTTACTACAACAGTCGAATAACGGGAAATCGATGTCGATCATCAATCGGAATTCCTTACGTTCAATCATTAGGTTGTTGGTGCTTCCAGTTGTAGTGACGTCATTTGTCACACAGGTGCTCTCGCTGTCGTGCCCGCTACTGCTGCTGGCTTGCCGGCTCGTGGCGCCGCGCTCCACCGCGCGCGCCGCATTCTGCGCGCCGTACTGGCTGGCGCTGCTGCCGCTGCCGCTGTGGCTGGCGGTGTTCATGCTGCAGCCGCACAAGGAGGAACGGTAATGTTTTATGGTCTAATTCAATAGAAAATATACATTGCAACAAAACAAAATTAACATAAGGAAAGTGGTTTTGACGGTGGATGAGACACATAGGAATGGGAAATATCCTTTTTATATGCCTCTTCTCTTCCGTATATATCCATCTATAATTAAGGATGTCTAAGAGGAAGCGGTCACTTCATTTTGGAGAATTCAATTGGATGCTTGCTCGTTTGCCATCTTATAAGGCTATGAATAAAAAAAAATTAAACCTATGTGTTCTTCCCGAATAAGTTTTGCATGTATGTATGACAAATTTGTTAGTGTTCATGTCTGTTTTTAATAAGGTTGTGATTGTCTTTCATACTGATATAATAAGTTTGCATGTATGGATGTTTGTTACTATGTATTATCAGAATTATTCAACGGATATCTATGAAATTTGACACAGATATAAAACAACCTGGAAGAACACATAGATTACTAATAGAGTTTTTTTTTAGAATTTTATTGGACGAAGTACTGTATAAACTGTTAACCCTTAAAGGGACGATTTTTTCTTTTTATGTACCATAAATTAAAAATTGTAAATTGAACATAGATTAAGGGAAAAAAAAGAAAAAAAAGGAATTTTCAAAATAGTCCACTGATGTATAAATGCATCATCATGCATTTAAGGTTTAAGAAGAAAATTAGTACCGCGCTGTAGAATTGGCGCAACACTAGATTATTGGCATAAACGTCACATCTCTGACAGCTGTCAATGTCATTAGAAGGATTGGGATGTTGGCGCGCATTCCTGAAGAGATCTATAGTGCAGTGTGAAATTAATATTGCTAGTAACAATTATAATAATTGTTTAAAAAAAAACTAAATACTATAATTTCTATGTTTTTTATCCTAATTTTTTTTTGTAGGTTTTTATACCCAGTGTACAGTATGGTAGTGTTGACTGGCGCGATATCACTGGACTGTATTCAGAAATTGACTTTCGCTGTCGGCACTGAACTGTTTAGGTCAGTTTTCTACTTTATTGTACGTTTTCATTGTAAAACATGTATTTTGAATTAATTTAATATTTCAGTTGGCGTAAGGATAGAGAGAAAAGGCATTATTTAGCGTACACGGGACCTCTTATGGTGATGTGTGTTATTTTAGCTGGGATAGGAGGTAAGTTTTTTTTAAAATAATATTTCCAAATAATTCAATTCTACGTACATTCTTTTTAAAATGTTTAGTATGTAATTTTGACTTACGTGTTTGTCAAAGCTTGAATTCGACTGACAATTTTTTTTTTCGCATATGTTATTTATGTGGGTTTGTATGTGTCATTGTCATTAGATTTGTCTTGTTCTTCGGAATGTCATAGGTTATTCACACAAAACACTTATGGTACACGTAAGAAATGTAAATTAAAAAAAAATATCTAAATGAGCCAGTATTTCTAAAAAAAAGTAGAAATAACCGATTTCAAATTTCATTCACCATTACTGTTTTTAAATTACTGATCTTTTTCAGATTATTCTATTATCTATTAGGGGTCGGTCATTTTTTTTTATTATAGTACAAAGGTATAATATTTTTTAGGTATATCACGTATAACCGCGTTATACCACAACTACCACGGTCCGATGACACTCCTACGTCACATGCCAGTGTCGAGCCAGTCCCGCGTGCTCTGCTACGGCAAGGAGTGGTACCGCTCGCCGTCCAGCTGGCATCTGCCACCGGCGCATACTGCCAGGTTCATCACCACGCACTTTGCTGGTCAACTGCCAGCGCCGTACCACGAAACTGCACATGGTGAGTGGCTCATCTCATCATCATCACCAATATCATCATCATCATCATCATCATTATTATTATCATTATCATTATCATCAATTTACCGAATAAACAAAGCGACCTACTCATAGTCTAAAGAATGTGAGGGATATCTATACTAATATTATAAAGAGGAAAGATTTGTACTTTTGTATGTATCGAAATAACTCAAAAACTACTGAACCGATTTCAAATATTCTTGCACCATTATAAAGATATTTTGTCACTGTGTGACATAGGCTATATTTTAATTTAACGCGGACGAAGTCGCGAGCAGCAGCTAGTTAATTGTAACGGCTCACTCACGTGAATTATTCGGTATAGGTACCTTCGGGTGTGTTAAGCCGTGTTAAATTAACTAGCTTTTGCCCGCGATTCCGTTCACGTTAATAAAAAAAAACGAAAGCAAGTAGCCTATGTGTTCTTCCACAATATTCTCTGTCTTTGCCAAATTTCACCGAGATCCGTTTAATCTACACACTAACATCCATCTTACAAACATCCATCCATCTAAACTTTCGCATTTATAATAGTAGTAAAATACAGTGTGTATCACGAAAATTTTAACAAGTTAATATGCGTTATGTTTTTGTTTATGGTTTACTAGAAGTTTCCACTGCAGAAACTGTTGATACTAATTTTGCTGTAAACATATTGAAGTAAACCCCAATGTAAATAAGGATGTAGAAAGATCTAAAAAGGGGTAGAATTTAAACCTTACTAATTTTCAGGTACTCGTATTATCCATCCTTATTTTAACGATCAAAATAAAGGCGATAATCGAACCTACGTCGATGTGTTGGAGTGTCACTATCTCGTGGACTCCGACATCGGCGCGCCTTCGAGGCTCGAACCCGCGTACCACAAACACACCAACAAATGGGAGATTATCGCCGCCGTGCCTTTACTAGACGCTGGCAAATCACATCCATTATTCAGATCGTTTTATATCCCCGGAATATCATATAAAAATGTCGTTTACGCAAATTTATATCTTTTAAAGAATAAATTGTTAACCAATTAAGGTCATTTTCCCTTCACTATTGATATCACTTTTGTATGAGGTCTATTACGAATATTTGTTTGACAGTTGCTGGACTGTATTCGTTACGTAATCGAGAAATTTTGTATGATTTTTTTTAAGCGCTCTACAATGTATTACGAAATTTTATCGATTACGTAACCAAAATGTTCTCACGGATATTTATGATAAGCCCTTCAGTCTACGGTTTCATACTTTTCAGAGTGAATGTATGAGAAAATGTTGGTTTATTGTTTGCTGTAAAAGTGGAGGAAAACGAAGTAAACGTAAAATATTTGCATTTGACTTTAAGCACATTTTTATATATATAATTTGTTTCATGTTATATTTTTTGTTGAATTTATTTAAAAGATTGTAGAATATCCTATATGTGTTTTATTCTTTTTTCTGTACTTCTAATATTAATAAGGGTTGCAATAAACAATCATATCATTGAGATAATGAAATATTTCTATGATTCATACATTTTTAGCATGAGATATAATATTAAATAAAACTTAAATTGCACTGAATTTATTCTCTAAAACTAATAGTTAATGTTTTATTATTTAAGACTGGTGTTGCGGATGTCCATGACGTCGTTGACCACCTCGGTGTTCTCGCCGCTCGTTTGCCCCTTTTATTTAAAAAGAATATTTAAAATCTCATGCAAAAATGCACATATAGTTAAGAATATATTTTTATTCTAGTCATAAATTCGTTATTCATAAATTCGCGTAAAATTTAAAATGCAAACTAATTAGCATATAAACAAAAAAAAACTAGTTTTAAGCAAATATAAGCACTAAACCAAAGTAGTATACGCTAGTTTCCTCTAAACTAGTTGTTATTTTGATACTAATACAATGGACACTATCGATGTTGCCATCTCGCTCGCACTTACACAACTAATGAAACAACATAGTGATGCGCTTTGATATTATCGATAGTTTTTATTCTTCGTATACCTTTGCAATAAAGTTTATAAAATTAATTGTCACACAGAGTGTTACGAAATGCAATAATTATGGTTATAATAATAGTACAATATTAGTTATAGTTCACAAGTATGGATTATCAAAATGTTTTGCATTTTTATATAAATCAATGTGTGTAACTCGTTTAATTGTACTTATAATTTGTAATAAATATTTTTTTCATTAACTGTTTTTTATTATCCTATGAAATGTTTAATTTAAATTACCATGTGTGCCACTCAACCCCCCTCCCCCCTGAGCTGGTTGGTCAACAGCTTGACAAAATATGTTTACATATTTTATCAAGCTCTTGATTTGACCATGCCTATGTGACCCCCCCCCCTGACGTCAAAGCTGGATCCGCCTAGACTTGGGCTTAATCGGACATCTGCAAGTGCGCTCCATACTAGTGGTAGTGCCCGCTTTAACATCTTAGCACTGCAGGGCCGGCACGCCCGGTGTAATACCACGACCACACAGAAGACAGGCGTGAAATGGAAGCAATTCCGTGTTTCGTCTGATGTGAGTGTGGTGCCGGAGGCCTAATTTAAGTCCATTTCCCTTTACCACCCTTTTCTTACGAAGAGAGGTTGGGAAGAGGAAGTGGATTCGACGGTGGAGGAGATGCATAGGTAGGGGAAATATCCTCTTTATGTGCGTCTCCTCCTCCGTCGGATAAGGGTAGGCAACGCATCTGCAATTGCGGATGTCTACGGGCAGCGGTCGCTTCGCCATTTTGGCGATTTCAGGTGGCCGCTTGCTCGTTTGCCACCTTATGTTATAAAAAAAAAAAAAAGTACTAGTTCAATTGGGAAAATGTACCAGTACACACTTTTAGTACCTTTAGTACTTCAGATTTTTGAGAACACAATAACATGAATAGAATATAATAATATCTATAGATTTATAGATTACTTCACATCAAATTTTAAGCAAGGTCAAACATATGTTATTAGTGAAAATAAATTTAAGTTATAAATAATTTTATCCGCTTTCGATTTTTATTACCGAAGGTAGATGCTTTCTAGCAAATATACAATCAAATCAAACAACGAAGAAGCCAACACCGATATCGTGTAGTACTGTTCTAAAAGTGCTAAATGTCCGATTAACAGAAACCGTAACGTTACTTTTAGTACAGTGCTGAGTAACATTACTTTTAGTACATCGTACGTGTACTACCCAAGACTGGATCCGCCCATGGTCCCACTTAGTGTTCAAATTCAATGCCTACATGTTTTGGAAAAATAATCTAGCCGGCTAAGCTAACAAAGCATTTATTTAGTTATGTTAGGTTTTTAGTGTAGGTTACACATGTAATTAGTTTCATATTGTTAGTTATAATTTTTTGTAGTAATTAAGGTTTATTTGTTTATTTTTATTTTTTAAATTATTCGTGAATATAACCAAGATGAGAGAAATAGTTCATATACAAGTCGGTAGATGTGGAAATCAGATCGGTTCAAAGGTATGTAAATAGACAAACATGAAAAAAAAAACTTGATTTCTAGCTTGGAGATCTAGAATGCTGTTCATGATTAAGTTTCACATATAATGTTATAGTTCTGGGAGGTGATATCAGACGAGCACGGCATCGACCCGGCGGGTTGTTGTTTAGGAGAGTCCCAACTGCAGCTCGAGCGCGTCAACGTGTACTACACGGAGGCGGCCGGGTACAAGTACGTGCCGCGCGCCGTGCTCGTAGACCTCGAGCCCGGCACCATGGACTGCATCCTCGCAGGCCCCTACGGCACACTCTTCTGCCCAGACAACATCGTCTACGGCATGACCGGGGCCGGTAACAACTGGGCCAAGGGACACTTCACGGAAGGCGCCGAACTACTTGAACCGACGCTGGACGTAGTGAGGAAGGAAGCCGAGGGCTGCGACTGCCTGCAAGGCTTTCAGCTCGTCCACTCGTTGGGCGGCGGCACCGGATCCGGACTAGGCACGTTGCTTCTGTCCAATTTAAGAGAGGAATATCCCGACAGAATTGTGATGACATTTTCCGTGGTCCCCAGTCCCAAAGTATCGGACACAGTGGTCGAGCCGTACAACGCGACGCTGTCTCTAAACCAGCTGATAGAAAATACGGATCAGTCGTTCTGCATAGACAACGAGGCCCTGTACGATATTTGCTTCCGAACGCTCAAGCTGCCAATGCCGACGTACGGCGACCTCAACCACTTGGTCTCAATGATGATGTCCGGCGTGACCACGTGTCTGCGGTTTCCGGGCCAGTTGAACGCAGACCTGCGCAAATTGGCCGTCAATATGGTGCCGTTCCCGAGGCTGCATTTCTTCATGCCGGGTTTTGCGCCGCTGACGTCACGCGGCAGCCAGCAGTACCGCGCGCTGAGCGTTTCCGAGCTTACTCAACAAATGTTCGACGCCAAAAACATGATGGCGGCGTGCGACCCGCGCCGCGGCCGCTATCTCACCGTGGCCGCAGTATTCCGCGGTCGCATGTCCATGAAAGAGGTGGACGAGCAGATGCTAAACGTACAAACAAAGAACAAAGACTTCTTCGTCGGTTGGATACCTAACAACGTAAAAACGGCCGTTTGTGACATCCCACCACGCGGCCTCAAAATGTCGGGCACGTTTATCGGTAATTCCACCGCTATCCAGGAACTGTTCAAGCGTATCTCGGAGCAGTTCGCAGTGATGTTTAGGCGGAAGGCGTTCGTGCATTGGTACACGGGCGAGGGCATGGATGAGAGCGACTTCGCCGAGGCGGACAACAACATGAGCGACCTCATATCCGAGTACCAGCAATACCAGGACGCCACTATTAACGATCAGGAATTCGAGGAAGAAGAGACCACACACAACGACGATAGTGATGAATAAGTTTCGACGATTTATTTATTTTATTTAATAAATTATTTGTAATTGCTTTTTCGTTTTACTAGTCAATACCCAACTACTGTAATTAAAGTTTTCAAAAGATTGTCTGCCTGTTTGTCCAGTACTCAGTTAAGGCATGACGTCATGAGGTTAACGTCAAAGGCACTGCGCAAAGCAATAGTATAGACCTTAGACCATCTATGTATATCGCTATTTAGCCCTGAGTCTGTCTGGTTGATACACCATTGTATCCAAAAAGAGCAATATGAAAGACGCGTTATTATAAAATCCTTATTTCTATTTGTTCTACCGAATCGGTAAAAAGAAAGTATATAATACGCTTTTCACAAATTTATTTTCAACAATGAATACCCTATCGGCGTTTAAACACAAAAAAGCAGATTTTAATAAAATGTTTATTTTAGATAACGATTATACATATAGGTTACGCCTAACACTAAACACTGCACAAAACATTTAAGGGACAAAACATGGACAAGACATTAACGTGGAATGCACAAAACATTGGACAAGACAAACGATTATTCTTCAACTTCTTCGTCGAACTCTCCCTCGTCGTCCGCCGTCGCGTCTTGGTACTGCTGGTACTCAGACACCAGGTCATTCATGTTGCTCTCCGCCTCCGTGAACTCCATCTCGTCCATACCTTCACCTGTGTACCAGTGCAGGAAAGCTTTCCTTCTAAACATTGCGGTGAACTGTTCCGATATCCTCTTAAACAGCTCCTGTATGGCCGTCGTGTTGCCAATGAACGTCGCAGACATTTTCAATCCCCGAGGCGGAATATCGCAGACGGCGGTCTTCACGTTATTCGGTATCCATTCGACGAAGTAGCTGCTGTTTTTATTTTGTATGTTGAGCATTTGTTCGTCCACCTCCTTCATGGACATGCGGCCTCGGAAGACTGCAGCCACGGTAAGGTAGCGGCCGTGGCGTGGATCGCATGCCGCCATCATGTTCTTGGAGTCAAACATCTGCTGAGTGAGCTCTGGCACGCTCAACGCACGGTACTGCTGGCTGCCGCGCGACGTCAGCGGCGCAAAGCCTGGCATGAAGAAGTGCAGGCGTGGGAACGGCACCATATTGACGGCCAATTTGCGTAGGTCCGCGTTCAGCTGGCCTGGGAACCGCAAGCACGTCGTCACGCCGGACATGGTCGCCGACACTAGGTGGTTCAGGTCGCCGTACGTCGGAGTCGTCAGCTTCAACGTGCGGAAACAGATGTCGTACAGCGCCTCGTTGTCTATGCAGAAAGTCTCATCAGTGTTCTCTACCAGCTGGTGAACAGACAGCGTGGCATTGTAAGGCTCCACCACCGTGTCCGATACCTTTGGGCTGGGCACCACGGAAAACGTGTTCATTATGCGGTCTGGATACTCCTCCCTTATCTTTGAGATGAGTAGTGTGCCCATGCCGGAGCCCGTGCCGCCGCCTAACGAGTGCGTCAGCTGGAATCCTTGCAGGCAGTCGCAGCCCTCTGCCTCCTTACGCACCACGTCCAGCACAGAGTCCACCAACTCAGCCCCTTCAGTGTAGTGGCCTTTGGCCCAGTTGTTGCCGGCTCCGGACTGTCCGAATACAAAGTTGTCCGGCCGGAAGATCTGCCCGAAGGGTCCGGAGCGAACGGAATCCATTGTGCCGGGCTCCAAGTCAACCAGCACGGCGCGCGGCACGTACTTCGCGCCTGTCGCCTCATTGTAGTACACGTTGATACGCTCCAGCTGTAGGTCAGAGTCCCCCTGGTAGGCACCTGTGGGGTCGATGCCGTGCTCGTCAGAGATTACCTCCCAGAACTGGAAAGATGGTTTTTGTATCAAACAAAGATCCAAATAAAACAATACAAATAATTTGATGATTACTGACGCATTCGTCAGTATCAAGTCATTACAGATGCGGGCGTATCAATCTTAACCTAACTAGCTGTTTTTTTTTACTTAAGCATGTGATTGTATATGTATTTTCGAAACATTACACTTACTTTAGCGCCTATTTGATTTCCGCATTGCCCAGCCTGGATATGGACGATTTCCCTCATCTTGATACTTTTACTAAAAATTTTGTACCTAAAATTAAGTTTGGTATAATTTTATCCTCCTAAAGTGACCATAAAAAAAATATTAAAGTATAAAAAAAATGAAATCAAAATACGTTCATTCTACACGAAATTTTAGTTAATAATGAAATGACAATATTCTTTTTTCGGCCACGGAGAAAAATAAATTCGATTTTCAATATTTATTTAAAAAATTCATTACCGACCAGTAATTTATAAGAAAAGCAGTGGTATAGGATCTTTTCACTGGCATGAAAAACACTGTACTTTCGAAGATTACAGTCACGCCGTAACCCAAAGGGGTAGGTAGAGATATCGTATTCTCCATGTGGTAAGATCCTGGCACACAGACATCTATTGCTTCTTTAACATTTTCTAATGAATGTTACGGGTATTTCTTATTCGTTATTGTAGGGTCCTTTCATTCGATAATTACTAATCTGTTTGATGTAAGAGTGCATTTTTTAATATAAACCAATGTACCTACTTCACTTGTTGAATTCACGGTACACACATGGCTAGTACAGTTGAGCATTTACGACTATAAGTCATAAAATGTATGGACACACTTGGGCCCCTTAGCATTGATACTGTGTTGATTCCAGTTATTGACCGCTTCTGAGCAACTGTATTGGCAAAGTGTGTACCGCGCTTAAGTGCCAAACATTTTTCTTTAAAGCGAAAAGGTCGGCTAAAAAAGCAAACTTTTAAAAATTCTAGAACAATTCTATTCTTGAATTTTGAAATTTCAATTTAGCGAAAATGATTTTGCCGGATCATTCGTTTGAAATCCGTCGTAAGATGCGTACGGTGTGAAGTTGTGCTTAATTTTTTTATATTTTTTTTATTAGTCTTAAGTTAATGTTAAGCATCAGCAAGATAAATATATTTTGACCGACTTTTTCAAGAAATTGACAAGTATCTGATTCTACAAGCGAGTAAATTATCAAGATGAGGGAAATTATCAATCTTCAAATTGGCGCTTGCGGGAACCAGATTGGAGGAAAGGTAAGACGTTCCGAGCATTTTTTTTATTAATGGCTGCAATACACATTACTCTAATTGAAATTTCTTACAATATTTTACAATTTCTCCTATAAGATCTTTAGTCCATTCATTTGATAATTTAAATTTGTTTCTTTGCTGCAGTTCTGGGAGGTGATCTCTGACGAGCACGGCATCGACCCGTGCGGCGTGTACCATGGCGACTCAGACTTGCAACTGGAGCGCATCAACGTGTACTACAATGAAGCATCGGGCGGCAAATACGTGCCGCGAACCGTGCTCATAGACCTGAAGCCCGCCACCA